CCTTCGATTACATAGAACTTTGTTTCCTGGATAGTTCCAGCAACGTTCACTGGCAACATGATTTCTCCTTTGGTGGTTTCACTTGCCATATTGAAACCGTTGAGCACTTGAGCTGCAGGCACGATTTGATCCTGAAGGCCGAGCTGCTCCCCGACCTTCGATCGAATAATATTTACCGAGCTACCTGGATCAACCAACACATGTTTATTTTATTCATAAGGATAGATATCACCAGCGCGTCGTTGTGAGGCTGTTCCATCCCTTCTGCATCCTCATCGTTGAAAGATAAGGTATCTTCTGGTAAGTAGTCCCGGGTACGCTTCTCCCTTGTGATTGTGACTTTGGTGCGTTTAAATGTCGGACCCTGAAGGATATCGACCCCATCGACGATCATATAAATCACGTGTTGCGGTTCCTCCTGTTCGTTTTTCCTGTTTGCATCCCTGTCTCTAAAGTGATTTTTTGCTCGGTCACTCAAGAACACTCGAAGATGACCTTCGTTGAATAAACGAGCTACCTCCTCCCTTAATTGTCTGCAGTCCTCGGTTCTGGGACCATGGGTTCCATGCTACTTGCACATTTGATTTGGATTCCTTTGAGCCGGATTGGTTTGCAGGGGTCTGGGCCACCTAGTATCCTTGATTCGTCCAATGGCCGATACAATACCTAAAGCGTCGACGCTGAAGTTTTATTTCGATAACCGTGGTGCTTCCTTAGGCTCAACATATTTATTGAAGCCGCTCTTACTCATGAGCCCTCGAGAATTTTGACCTCGATTATTCAAACGAGATTACGTCCCGGTCCGTTGTTCTACGATCTGCGCTATACGGTTGGTACCGATCTCTGTTCGACCGGGGCTCTCTGTCGATGTCTCTATGAATCCTACCTTCGGACCTATTTGGGTAAACAGAACCGGATGGAGCTCCCAACTGATTATCCTCGACTCTGATCTTTGATTGGTATCGACTATGTACATCGGCCAGGTCACCGCTGCATACTCAATCAAATTCTGCTTTAGTTGACGCGATGTTACCAAACTTCGCTCGTTCAAACCCTGAGTAAAGGCTTGGACAGCCCAATCATTGGTAACTGGGTGTAGGTCCATGCGCTCCATCTAAAATCGAGATACGAATTCGTTTAGCATCTCATTGTCTTTTTGTCTCACTTTGAAGAGGTATGACTTCCTAGTCATGACCTCTATTGCTCCGGCGTGTGCCTTTACGAACGAATCGTCAAGCATGGCGAAAGAATCGATGGAATTGGGCGACAGATTGTGGTACCATATCATTGCCCCCTTTGATAAAGTTTCTCCAAATCTTTTCAACAGAACAGATTCAATTTCATCGTCTTCTAAGTCATTTCCTTTTATTGCGCATGTATAAGAAGTGACATGCTCGTTTGAATCAGTGGTTCCATTATACTTGGGAATTTCTGGCAGTGGAATTTCTTCGGAATGGGCTTCGGAGCCGCACTTGGTGGGAAAGGCTTCTGTACGAACTTTTTCGAATCCAAACCCTTCAGAATCGGGGGTGCCCCCGGTATTTGATCAACCCGGGAGTTGTACGTTTCTACTTTTTTATCATTGGCCTCGATCTTCTTTTCTCCTGATTGCATCCGTTTAGTGAGCTCCTCGAGCATCTTCATGATGGAGGGATGAATTCCCGATCCATTATCGTTCAATTTCTCTTGTACGGGTTCGACCCTATGAGCAACTTCCTGTGATGTATCGCGTTTGATTCTACTTGGGGCTCAATTATGATTTTGGAGTTGCGCCTATCGCGGCCTGCTGAGTTTGTAGCATGTCAAATATCATTCGAAGGCTAATTCCGCCTTCTTCACCATTTTGTGTGTTCTAATCGGCTGCCCGGGCGCCTCTGCGGACGCTATTTTCAGGGTCGGCGCCTAAATCTCCACGAATGGTAACACGAGAGCTGACATCAACCGGATCTACGGCCTCTGGTGCGTCGGGATTGATTGGAGGCACTCCGTTTCCCGGGGCGACGACGTGTTCATTTTCGCCATGAAGACCAAGGCCGGTATCAGTGTGAGTGGGTACTGCTTGAGAGTTCGACATGTTGATTCCTGAAATCAAAAATACTCACGAGAACAAACGTAAAAGCGGTGTGTGTTATGAAGGTTAAAATATTAAGCAATCACTATTATTCTTAACCCCACGGTGGGCGCCAAACCGTTTACCCTAAAATTTGGATAACAATTAAACTTATAATGTGGTTTTAAGGATATGTGATTTTACCTAATATCAATTGATAAACGTAAAGATAAATGATGCAAAATTGACAATAATACAAAGCAAATCGGTGTTTGGTCAATGCCCTCGAGCTAATGAACCCTCGAGCTTGGTAGAGTAACAACAGTTAAAGAGCATCAAGTTGATAAGCAAAAGAAAGAAATATTATATTGCTGAGATATTCGCGAATATAGTCCTTACAAATGATAGGGACTCCTCTTTATATACTAGAGGAATCCTAATTATGGCACAATTCTAATTACGGAAGTAAATACCATGATTGGTACAAATAACCGTCCTTGATTTGATCTGTTCCGGGATTTCCGCCGTGATCTTCGACCGGTTACGGATATCTCGCCTTTCCGTTATTGCACTTCACTCGAAGTCGGTCATGCTTAGTCCCGATTGTTGCTGGCCTCGGTCTCGAGGAACATCTCGATTCTGAACTCAACACCTCGTTTTCGTGCTATAGCCCGATCCATTGCGAGGCTGACACTCGACGTGATCCCGTGAACTCGATTAAATTGCCCAATTTTACCGTATACATATAGAGGATGATAAAAATCACAAAATCATTCCGTTATGTTTTATTTTTTCAAGACCGCCGCGAAGTGCTTGCGGGTATACTAGTAGAAGATAAAAGAGATAGATCTAATATTACTACTGATCACTCAAAAAGAGGACAAATCGTATTGTTGACTAATAACTAGCACAATTCCTCTGCTTTGTTTACTATCCTATGTCCGGTATCTGTGTTGTGGTTCGACTAAATCCGGATTCATGTTAGAAAATTTTGCATTGGGGTAAAGCAGACTAGTACAATTAATTTCTTGTCACTATAGAATTTTTTTTTTTTGGTTAAACATGATAGAATATGTTAATAACGATAATAGTGTTTCTGTAAGTATTTTTTTCTCAAACAATACTTTCCGTCGCAAGTTGATTTTTAATATTGTATAACAAAGTTATATTTTTCCGAAGGTTTCTTTACCACGAAGTCACGAACTATTACCAACCATTTGTCTTTGAATTGATTAATTATCTATTAAGCTACAAAGTACATGTATTTTAAAGTGCAAAATGTGCACAAGTTTTCGTAGAGATGCTGAATTGCACTCGTATAGTATTTTACTCTTCAATTGAACTTAAAACTTTGAGACTCATTGTCTATTCTAGATATATTGGCACTGTAGGTATTGTAATATTCAGCTGGCATCCGTATACACGGGGTCCTTTTCTTTGTTTCCCTTTTGCTGCACAACATGACTTACTCCTTATATTGGAGAATATTTTCTTGTAAAAGGAAATAAAAGAAAAGCATTTCTTATTTTTTACAAACTTTAGTTTTCAGTTAATATGAAAAAATTTCAATATATACACGCCTTTTAAAATAAATTTTAATTTGTCTAAGTGAGCTCATCGCCTTCCACAGTTGAGGTGTGTAGGATTTAAATCCATTAGTAGGTAGCATTCTCTTCCCTCCCCCGCCCGTGGCGAAGCTAGCAATTTTTATTAGGGTGTTCAAAGTTGAAAGAAGTAAAAAAAAATTCTGACAAAGGGTGTTCAATATATGTTAAATACTTTTAAAACCTAACATTTTACCTATATACGCAATATAATTTTCCGACGAGCGTAGCTTCGCCCATGCCCCACCCCCCTCCCGTGCACCCACCCCTGATGTAGTTTAAAAAAAAAAAACAGACATTGCCTTAGGTTAGCTCTTCTGACCTATTCTTGATTAAGTTCGGAAAGAATGCCATGCTAATTGACAGATCACAGAAGGGTATTTAGCTGTGTCGTGAAGAAATAGCAAAAACAAGAAGCCATTCGGTTCGGTGATAAACTGATAACGAAATTATAGAAGGGAGGTTAACATACAAAGATTAAATAATATGCATATAATAAGTTGTAGGTACATTTTCTCCGTAGTGTCTGATTGCTTGTACTTATTAGAAATATGCTATACAGCTTTTAAGATTGCTTTTACAAACAGTAACCCTTGATAAGGACACCTCACATTATGTGCAAGCTGGTCCTAATTGAATTAATCATCTTGTCATTTACACGATAAAAACCGCAGATAGTTATGCTTGTGATATTACCTTGTTTGAAATTTTATTTCAAAACCATCAATGCCGCGTCGACGCTAAACTTAGTCAATAAATCGTGTTAAAAGGGCAGTCTGGTGCGCTAAGCTCCCGTTATGCACGGAATCGGGGAAGGGTCGGACTACAAGGGACTATTGCACGCAGGCTTACCCTGCATTTCTGCTAGAGGCTGTTTCCATGGCCCGAAACCGTAACCTCCTGGACATGGCAACAACTTACCAGTTACACCAAGGCTCTCTTCAAAAATCTACAAAGATCCTGTTAAAATCTATAAAAATCTCCCCAAGTCACGGGTCCAATAAGAGCACATATATACTTTGTAAACCCTTCGACTCGTTTTCTGTCTTCAGCAAGTCTTTGTTGTTTACGTAACTCAATGATTAATATTATTTGATGAAAGAAAGAACTAAAGAAAAGAAAAGACCAACTTGCAAGCTTAATCCATTAATTAGCAGCAATCTAGAGCTAAATCAATGTCTAACCACTACACTTTGTTTTTTCATGCAAAAAAGTCAACAAAAATAGACTGGCTGAGTCAAGCTTGTTTTGTTCCTACATAAACCCTAAAGACAGTTTAGTTAAAATACATATACATGCAATCATAGTCAATCATCTAACCAAATCCAGTTGTCCTTATCCTTTCAAAACATTAGGCATCTTTGCTCACGAATACAAGGTTACAGCTTACTGCCTTGCACTAAAATATAGAGTTTACCAGCGAGATTAATTATAATGTATTAGTAAGATAAGTTAAAATCAAGTCCATTGATATCAACGTGTTGTCCCTATATATTGACATCGTGGTTGAAGCTTCTCAAGCTCAGTAGGGAAAAAAGGATTGAACTCTATAAGGTATTTATAAGGAAAATGAGTGCAAGAATGTTAATGAGCGGTGTGTGGGCAGCACTAATATTCTTGGTTCTATGTGAGTGCATAATGTTAGAAGCACAACTTCAAGTGGGATTTTATGGCAGTTCATGTAGTATGGCTGAGTTTATAGTGAAACAAGAAGTTGCAAAGGCGTTCATTAAAGATACAGGAGTGGCTGCTGGCCTTGTTCGTATGCATTTCCATGATTGTTTCGTTAGGGTAAGTCAGTTTTTCAGCAGCCTCTCCTATGTTAGAAGTGTGTGTGACCATTTCATTATGCTTATAGATTAGATAGTTATGTTGTTCTTATGGTATTAGAGCACGCTTTTGTTTAATTAATTATGTCCTCGACACACCTCTTTACCTACATGCCTGATTTTTTTTTTCATGAACCAAACATGCATGTAAAAATTGTATTTGATAACCTGCTCTCTGCAACCATACTAGTATGTGATCATCTCATCACACGAAATTTAAACTTTAAGATGAGATCGCTAATCACACAGTTCTCATCATAAATGCACTTTGTATCTAGAGTAGGAATTTTACGTTATTTCTGAAGTTGTTTCCCATGACGAGGTTAAAAACCATATAAGAAGGGCTAAGATATTATACATCCAGCATATTGACTATTAGCTCTGTACATTGTTAACTTTTTGGTTCTGGCATTATAACAGGGTTGTGATGGATCAGTGCTAATCGACTCAACTCCATCAAACACAGCAGAGAAGGACTCACCAGCAAATAATCCGAGCCTTCGAGGTTTTGAAGTCATTGACAGTGCAAAGGCGAGGTTGGAATCTGTTTGTCAAGGAGTTGTTTCTTGTGCTGATATAGTCGCTTTTGCAGCTAGGGATGGTGTAGAGATCGTAAGTACTAAAGTTAATCGGGCAAAATAGCTTTTATTAAACTAACATATATTACCAAAGGTGTATTTAATTACTTGCACGCTTGAAATTACTGCAGACTAGAGGGTTTGGCTATGCCGTTCCAGCTGGTAGAAGAGATGGCAGAATCTCATTAGCTTCTGAGACAAGAAATTTACCGTCTCCTGCATTCAACGTTGACCAGCTCACCCAAAACTTCAAAAATATGGGACTCACCCAAGAAGAAATGGTAACCCTCTCTGGTAAGTAGCAGTGTAGTATAAAAAATCTTTTACACTGTCAATGTATATAAACTCGGGCGGGGAGCCTTGGCGTAACTGGTAAAGTTAATGTCATGTGACCAGAAGGTCACGGGTTCGAGCTGTGGAAATAGCCTCTTACAGAAATACAGGGTAAGGCTACGTACAATAAGAATGTGAAATATCTAATCCATAAGAAGAATCTTGGAATTTTTGATGTCTAGGAGCACACACGATTGGTCGATCTCATTGTGGATCCTTCAGCAGCAGGCTATACAACTTCAACTCAACAACAAGCCAGGATCCTAGTCTAGATCCTGGCTATGTAGCCCAGTTGAAGCAGCAATGTCCACAAGACAGCACGGATACAAGTTTGGTGGTGCCGATGAACCCTGCAAGCCCAGCTATCACTGATGTAGGTTACTACACCGATATTCTGGCTAACAGGGGCTTGTTTACCTCTGATCAAACTCTTCTCACAAATCCAGCTACAGCTATCCAAGTAATACAAAATGCTAGGAATTCATTCCTTTGGAAAAGTAAATTTGCTCTCGCAATGGTGAAGATGGGCCAAATTGGTGTTTTGACAGGCACTGCTGGTGAGATCCGAGCTAATTGTAGAGTCATCAATAGCTGAACAAATGATTAAGAGCTATGTAACATAAGCGGGGACTGCTCCTTTCAAGCTGGAGCTTTCACACCACTGTATCTTCTTCAACCTGTTCTATTTCCCTATTGGTTATTAGTCCTGTGAGAAGCATTTTCCAGGAAATAGATTATGTTTTGCTTTGCTGCCCTATTACCTCACATTATCTTACTTCCCGCACCATTTCCCGGGGAGACTTGAATAGAATTGCATGCATTAAATTCTTATCCAAAACAATGAAATTGCCAAGTAGCTATGTCCATATTAACACATTTTTTTACCTTTTAATCTAAAGCCACAGAGCTGCTCAGGCAAAATGGAAATGCTAGATAATCACTTCGCACAAAAATAGAACCAAAATAAAAAAGAAAGCCCTTCATTTCTTGATATAGGCCAATGAGGTTCTACATCGGACCACATCTTAATAGGTGGTTCGCCAATTAACAAGGGCAACAAAAATAGAATGAGAGTGACTCCAAAATTCATCATCAAGCACAAATTGAAAGGTGAATTTGTAAGCATACTCAAGTGGTAAGCTCCATAATAGCACTGACTATGTCTCCATTGTGGCACTTCAGAGCCTTGACTGCCTTGCTCCTGGACACTCCTGCTTGTGTCATAACCAAATCAATGTCCCGAGGTTCAACACCAGTCTCATCGACCTCTTCTTCTTCCTCATCTGCCTCAGCAGCAGCAGTAGAGGGGGACACATCTGACTTGGCCATCACAGATCCCATGTCTGGCATCCTAAACTGCTGAGCTGCTTGTGTCTGCAACTGCGAGCTCAAATCCTCAATCTTAGCCTCTCCAAATATGACATAGGTCTCGGAATTTGGGCTTTTGAAGACGTCTGGTTTTGAGATGAAGAATAAAACCTGCAGTATTTTGATTGAACTAATAAGCATAAATCCACATTCTTAAAAGAATATCAAATCGAATACAGATGAAATGAAGAACGAAACAAGGTAATTTACATTTTTGGTCCTCTTAATAGTGACCCTGCTAACCCCTGTAACAGGTTTCATGCCAAGCTTCAACATGGCTTTCCGACTCTTCTTCTCACTCCTGCTCTGCTTAGAACTCTCACTACCTCCTGCATCAGTTTCTATTCAGATTCTTATAGAAAATGTATTAACAAACATCATACTGTGTGGCCTGGTAATCTCAAGTGCAATATAACAATGTAACAACGCTAAACAGGTCGTGTGCAATTCAGTAGTAATGCAAAAGAGAGATAGATAATAAAATAAGCACAGGAAGATAAGTAGCAAATTCAGAAACACCATACTGGTCAGGACTGCGCACCAGGAAACACATTGCATAAGGGATAGCTAACACTTAATCTATTGACATCAGTTAGAATAGGGACGGAGAAATCAGACAGAAATGCATAGCATAACTTCATACAATGATCAAAATCCTGGCAACAACAACAACAGCCATTCCAAATTACAAATATGCAAAGTAAAAATAAATCCTACGCCAACTAAGAGGTTTAATTATTCTAGCGCTAGAAATGCATGGTGGAATGGTCACTGGTCAGATAACCAATGTTGCATCCATTTCTCCTGCTAACAAACTTTTAAAAACAGCGGCATTAAGCAATTAAATAGTTGCAACCATCAAAACAAACACCAAAAAGTTCTATATAGTATTACATTATCCAAAAAGAGTTCAACTAGAACTGAATTAGCTAAGGTGCTGTAAAATAGCTCATCCAATAAAATACTCTGAGCCTTAAAATACTACAGTGATATCTAAAAGGAATACCGTGGGAGTATATATTTCACAAAATGTCAAGTTCACAAACAGACCATACTAAAGATCAGCATTCTTAGACCATGTACGAAAGATAAAAACATAAAAAGCAGTATGAAACCATAAAAAAGAAGAGTAAAGGTAAACAATACCAAGGGCGCTATCTTCCTTGTCATCGTCATCGTCGTCGTCAGAATCATCGGCGTCATCATCGTGGTCGTCTTCCTCCTTCACGTCCTCCACGATTGGCTCATCCTCCTTAAGCTTCTTCTCGGCTTCGATTTCTTCGATGACGGGACCAGGCATGGTTGCAGTCGTAGGATGGTTTAATCGAATGGAAGAGGTTCACAGTGCTTTGAGGATAGAATTCGTAAGCAGAAAAAGATGGAGATATAAAAATGGTGGGGTTGTATCCTAGGGTTCCTCTCTATGGACCTTGCCTAACTAAAGCCCAATTTCATCAGCCCACTTATACCTTTATCTTTTCTCTTTTAATTTTAATCACACGGCATAAGAGAATGAGTAGTATTACGAAGTTACAGTCTCTTTCTTATCATTTGGGTAAAAGGCATACTCAAGGTGAAAATGTTTCAAATGACCGTGTGAATAAATGGTGTTAAAGTTAGGGAAAAAATCTCCTTTAGCTCACTGAAAATCTAATAGAATATTACTAGGTTGCTGAAAAATGTCATATATAACATGTGATTAAATATTTTTGAGGATATGATCTCCTATGATCACTTATAATTCAAATAAAGAAAAATAACTCTATAAACATCCCTTGGGTTTTATTGACCAGTCTCTTATATTATTTGTTACTAATCTCTTGTGAAACTGGTCACATAATTAATAGATCATAAAACTGATTGTCTCTAAAAAAATAAACAATAAAAATAGGAGGCTATCTGGCTCCCTAATCCCTGTAATCATTGGAATTTGTAAGGCCTCGTTTTGCTTTGAATATAAAATTGGGATAGAGTTATCACATCTTGCTATAGGTTGCTTGTTAAGGACTGAACAAGATTATGGTGTTTATTTCGATTTTTTTCTTGTAAATTAAGTGATTTTTTTCTTTATAACTTTTCAGACTCTGTGTAACTTTCTTATACATGCAAGTATAAACAGTTAAACAATAATTATAGATTGAGTAGAGTATCTTTTTCTCAAAAAATATTCATTAACCAATAACCAAATTAAACTATACCTAGTTATTTAGTCAAGAAATATATCAATTTAATTGGTTGATTAAGATTCTAAGTATTGCAAGAATTAGTAAAATAAATAAACGGTTGCGTCAGCTTTAGCAAATGGATGAATGATTCTAAAGCTATAGGGTTCACCTTGACGATCCTATTATAGTCCTAATTACGTATTTACTACTCGCAAGACACAAGAAAACAAAAATAATTGCAGCAAATAAAATGAGCTATAGCAACACAAAATAAATACATAAATGCAATGTGTTACAGGCTGAAGATATTTGTCAAAATATTACGACCGACAAATAAAAAAAAGCAGTCAAATAACTAGTAAAAGAAGCAAAAAAGAAAGAAAAAAAAAGGTCCTTTTTTTTTTCAATGCAAAAGGGTACTTTATATTACACTTTTAATTGGTACTATAAAATAGGGCGTTTTCTGTAGCGCCCGGTACACAAAATAATACTATATTGCCTCCAAAACATATATGGGGGAACTAACAAAAGGTTTACTATATTAGTAGTACTATTAGCATCCTGCATCCTTGTTCCATTTTTTTGTCAGGAACGCCAATTTTTTACCAGAAGAAGGATTAGTCAATTAATTACAATCATCCACAAAATGGGACGTTTTCTGTAGCGCCCAGTACATACTAATATTACGAGCTATGGATTTACAAATACACTGAGTTTTCCATTTGTTTGCTTCTAAAATCTTCAAAACATACAGGTGGGAGGGGGGTTAACAAAAACTTTACTATATTAGTTTACTAAACACCATTTTTGCTAGAAGAAGGCTTAGTCAATTAATTACAATCATCCACTAAAATTCAATTCCCCACACCACACTTAAAATTGTGAATAGTGTCCGATGCACGCGAAATAAAATCAAGTACGGTGAAGAGAACTCCCTCTAAGCAGCTGCGTCTGGCATAGGTGTATCTCCCGCCTCAGCTGGTGGGATAACCAATGTCTGGATAGAACCAGCAGCAGTAGTAATACCAGGTACAAAAGAAGCAGGAGCTGGATACACAGCCGAATTAGGGGCATCAGCAGTAGTAGCAGCATTAGATCCAACAAAAACAGGAGAAACATCAACAGCAGAAACAACAGGTGCGAGAGTAGGTGGAGAAAAGGTGGAATCAGGCAGAGATATTCCAGTATCCACAGTGGTGGCATCCAACACCGTCTTCTGATCAGCAACAACATCCTCGACTACCTGAGCTGGGGCATCATTGGTGGGGGCGGGAGTCAGGCCAGGCTCACGGGACGCAGACAGACGGGCTCGAACCTCGGCTAGCTTGGCGAGAACCTCTGTACCATCAGTGCCCATAGCCTTGAATACGACTTCAGTTACAAGCAAGGTATGCCTCCACTTCATCTCAAAGTTAGTCAATCGCTCCTCTATGGATGACTCTACGAGTTAGAAATCATGCTCGAGTGATCAGTTAATTAAAGCACGCATCATTTTCTCCTTCTAACAAGCTTTTGAAAACAGCAGCATTAACCATTTAAATTATCACCACTGCCAAACACAAACCCCAAATAATTTCTACATATTACATTATCCAAAAAGGTGTCTTGCAAGGTTTTAGCGCTGCAGCAGCAAAATAGCTCAACTAATAAAATACTCTAAGCCTTGACATAGCACATTATCCCTAAAAGGAATGCCATCGCAATAGATATTTCACAAAATACCAAGTTCACTAAGACCATATCTAAACCAGCATTATTAGACAATGCAAAAAATTTATTAAAAAGAAAAAAAGATAACCTTAAAAAGGGTTAGGGAAGGCAAAGAATACCTTGAGTGGGAGTCGGGCCAGGCTCATGGAACGCGGACAAACCACCTGGAAACTGAGCTAGAATCTCTGTAATATTTATGCCCTTATCCTTGGCTTTTGTTTCAATTACTAGCCATATCTGTTTATGCATCCTCTCAATATTAGCCAATCGCTCCTCTGGGAGTTAAAAATGCATGCTCGAGTGGTCAGTTAACTGAAGTAGCAGTGGCATTAAGCATTTAAACTGTTAAAACTTAAAACTACCAAAACAAACACCAAAATAGTTTCTATAATTAGCTTTGTCCACAAAGGGTTGAACTTGCAAGGAATTGGGGTAAGTAGCAGCAAAATAGCTCATCGAATCAAAAACTCTTACCCTTGAAATACCACATGTGATCTTTAAAAAAAAGCAGTCACAATCGCTAATTCAGAAAATGTCGGGTTCACAAGCAGACCATATTTAAACCGGCATTCTTAGACAATGTAAGAAAGACAAAAATTGAATAACAAGAAACAGAACGAAATACCTAGGGCGCAAGTTTTCTTGTCATCGTCATCGTCGTCGGTGTAATCGTCATCAGAATCGTCGGCGTCATCGGAATCGTCGGCGTTAGAATCATAGTCGTCTTCAGACATTGAATCATCCTCCTGAAGCTTCTTCACGATGAGACCGGGCATGGCTGTTTTAGTAACGGTGGATTTGTATAATACAGAAGTAAAAGAGGTTCTCAGTGCGTTGAGATAAAATTGGCAAGCAGGAAGAAATTTACTTTACCAAATGGTGCGGTTTTTTTACCTTCTGGGTTCCTCTCTATGGACCTGCCTAACTCGAGCCCAATTTCATCAGCCCATTTATTCCTTGTCTCTTTAATATATTAAATAAAAGAATAAGGAATCTGCGCTATAAATTATTTACATTTAATAGCCGAAAAAGTTATAAATTAATATAATTTTTATATATAACATACAGAATGTATATATTATACAAAAATATACATTTTTCGACTATTATTTTGAGAGTGGCTATACAGTATCATTTTCCCAAAAGCTAATGGGAAATTACCATTTATGTCAGTCCATAATTAAGTTAGTACAAAAATTAGCCGATTCATAAAATATTACCAATATTAACCAATTAGCTATTTGTAGCAAAAAAATATCAAATTTCTGCTTTCTTTTAAGTGGGTGTTATTGGAATAGATTGGATACATCTTAAGGAGTTTAAATCTCAGTTTTGGAATGACTTGGTAGAGTTTTGAGATGATTTGAATTGAAAATTAGAAGTAGAAGATGAACATGGAATAGGATGATATGTGTATCACACTGTGTATTATGGCTGTCCAACGGGACAGGACGGGACGAAATTAACAGGACGGGACGGGACGATATTTAAGCGGGACGGAACGAAACGGGACGGGACAAACGGGACGAAACAGTCGTCCCATCCCGTCCCGCTAACAAACGGGATGGGACGGGACGAGACAGGTTCGTGGGCCTTAATTGTATTTTTTTAATTAAAAAAAAAACGTCTAGTTTTTTGAAAATTACTATGTTTTTAAAGTTTGCAACGGCTAGAGTTTTGACTTATTTAATAAACTTAAATGTTACTATGTTAAAACGAAAATTAGAAAACTAAGTAAAGAATTATAAAATATTAAAACAAAAGACTTGTAATGAAATACTCTAGTAATTATAAATTTATAATAGAGTTATAATTTATTTAATATAATTTCAAAGTATTAACTATTAAGTAACTAAGACAATTCATAAAAAAATTCAACGCTTAGAGCCTTTTATTTTATTTAACTTTCAAATCTCAAATACAAATATAATTCTTTTGAAGAGCACCTAATCTACGCAGCCACCTTCTAGAAAGGGTTCTGTTTGAACTAGGCCTCTTAGTAGCCAATTACAAATTATCATACTAATATTTGTAAGCTCCTATATAGCTTCTTTGTAACTTGTCAATAATATCTCTCGGACATTCTAAGTGATAAAATACACAACGAATATACTGAAGATATTCGGTTTGAAATTTAAAAACATCATTTCTAACCGTGGTATTAGGAAAACCTTGAAAAGCAGGGTTATAAGTTTCTTGTATATAATGCACAAAAGCAGGGTGAGAAGGGAAAGTAAAAGGTAAGCCACAGACAGCCACCATTTTTGCTAAGTTCTCACGATCTCTATCTTTGTTATATTTGCGTAAAACATGACCAGAAGCAGGGTCAAGTTGTGAATTTGATTAGAACCAGATCCACTAGGAGTGTCAGTACTGATGGTAGGATCTATAATTTTTCCGGCTTCTATGTTAGCTTGTATCCATAAAGATTTGTGATCCTTTCTTAAGTGTCTAGTTAAACCCCCCCGTCCCACCACTTGTTGTGTGTGCAAATTGTTGCTTACATTTTTCACATATAGCACGATGA